ACAGTCATGGGACGGTCTCCCGTGTGGCCAGTGAGGCCCGGTCGCCCCGGGGGGGGGGGCCGGCGCAGCGGCTCTGGGCGCGGGCCGCGGCCCTTCCCGCGAATCGCCCCCTCCGCGCCCGGCTCCTCTCCCCTTTGTCTCCCACTTTACGCCAGCCCGCCCGCCACCGCCGTTCTGCCGAGGTTCAATGAGACCAGACAATAAGAGATTCACATAAAACTGCTTTGGATTTTAAACAGCTTTTTTTTCTTTTCGCTCTCACATCGCGTTCCAATTCTGTGGGCCCCACAGTTCGGCCACTCGCCCAACCCGCAGCCAGTCATTTCTTCCACAGCGTCCCTGCGTCATACCCCGCCCGCCATCGCTTTCACAGCGCGCCCGGGTCTGGCGCGGCCCGTGAGCCTTCAGACCAGAGCCCGCCTAACTTCACGCTGTGCCTCTCCCGCGGCCACAGCGTAGTACTCGCCCCGCCCCATGCACGGGGCCCTGCGCAGCAGGCCCTGCCCCTGACTGCCCCTGACTGCCCCTGCCACCGCCTCGGCCGCCGCCCCGCCCCTCCGGGGGACTGAACGCGAGCCGCAACTCCCCTTGGTCTGGCGCCAGGCGTCACCTGGGATCACCACTCGGGGCCTCCAAGCCCCACCCCCTTACGCGGTCGCAGCGCAACGACGTCATTTCCCTGCGCCGCTTAGCGCGTCGCAGTAAGCCTCTGTTCTCTGCTTACGGTGTCCCGCGTTCGCCCTGCCCACTCTACACGTTCCTTGCCTGCCCACCCCTCCGCGGCACCGGGCACACAGGCCGCCACTGCTGCCCCACGACAACCGGCCACGCGCCGGGCGCGTGCCACGGATCTCAGTGTTTCAAGCTGCCTTTAACACTGCACGTTTCCAAAGTCTCACAGCCCTGCCCAAACTTTTTTTGCAGTTCAGTTCCACTCGAGAGAGGCTATTTTTTTTCCTTTTTTTCTTACAGTTTTTCTACCATTTGTTCACTGTTGCTGGCCACCTGATAATTTTACCAACCTGCCTGCCTTATAATCTTAAATGCCGATATTAAGCTCCTACATACTTACTTAATTCTACAGATAACTTTTACTATAGTCCAGATCTCAAATAACAAGGCAAAACTTAACCTTCAAGCTCCACAGAGACCTTGCTATGGTTGTTCAGATTTTAAATAACACCTACAATTCTGAGACAGACAAATCTACACAAGATTAAGCTACCTACCCCTCTCCCGCCATGGGCCTCACTCAAATTCATCAGACATTCTTCGAGACCTTACTCCAGGGCTATTTAGGCTATCCTGGCCACCAGAGAGTGGCCTGGCCATCCTACCTAATAGCCCTCATAGGTCACTGCCAAAAGACCTTACTCCAGGGCTATTTAGGCTATCCTGGCCACCAGAGAGTTCCCTGGCCATCCTACCTGGTAGCCCTCATAGGTCACTGCCAAAAGACCTTATTCCATGGCTGTTGGGTTATCCTGGCCACCAGAGAGTGGCCTGGCCACCCTGGCTTGTCATCCTCGAAGGTCACAGGGGCAAAGCGCCTTGGTAGATGTCTGTCTCAGAATCCAAATCACATTAAAGCTCTCAAGGTAAGACATTCTCTATATTCGTGGACATAAGAGACCACATATACAGAGTTCTTACTGAGTTGTTAAGATAATAAATTCTCAATGTCTCATGGAGTATTAAAGGTCAACCTATGCCAGTTACAAACAGGGTCCTAGATCTAACCATCCTTTTGATGCTCATCTCTGCCTTATGACTCACAGGTTGTCATGTTTTGTTGTCCAGTTTGATTCTTAATTTCTTACATTCTATTAATGATCATTTCTATAGCAGGAGTCCCTAACACGATTGCCTACAGACTCCAACACCAGAGACAAGCCTTACAACTTTTATGCTTTCATAGGGGGGAGTAGACACCTCTCATAACTTCACTCCTCCTAATCCCACGTTTATTTTTCAGAATTCTGCCTTGCCACCTCAACGTCACCTTTCCCTCTACCTCACTTGGGTCCATAAATATGACAGTGCCATGTCTCCTCATAACATCTTGTCTCTTTGTTTTTTCTAGTCTAACATACGTGCATTCACCAGTGAAGTTGTCCTGGCTAAAACACCTAACATCAGCGTCTACCTGGGCATCAACCTTCATCCCGTCAAACTCCCCTAGACCCCAATACAGCGCCCTCGGCCAGCAGGAAGTAGTTACAGAGAGAAATCTTCGCCCCTTTTCCTAATAATCATAAGATGGGATATGAAAGAGTTGCTGGCCCAGACCGGACCCTTTAACCAGGAAAAGCTGCAGCCAAGTTAGAAAACTCCTGCCTCCTTCGCCCCCTATAGACTTGACTGTAACCCTATACCCCCCTCCCTAAGAACCTGTGCGCCAATGAAATACCTGTATATCTCTAATGGCCTTAGGGCACTGCCCTAAGCTTAGGCTATTTATATTCCCCCACGCCACGTGTCCAAGAGAGATCACCAGATTCTAGCAGCCAGTGCGCCAGTCTCCTCTCCCCGTGTTCCCGGAGAGACCACCGGCCCCTGGGTGCAGCGGAGATGCTGCGCCCCGGGGCCGGGGGGAGGGTCTCTCCCCGCATTCCCAAAATAAAGCCACCGCTGCCCACTACTTTCAAGGCCGTCCACTCCATTCCTTCCACGGACCTCGACCTCTTCCTCTCCCCTCTTCCTCTCCCTTTTTTTCAGACCTAAAAGTGTTTCACTGTGTGCCTTGCAGCGAGAGGACTGCTGTCCGCAGCACAATGAAGCGTCATGTGCACTGCAACAGGGCGGCTGTTGCAGTTCACAAGAGGAGCCACAAAGGGATGCCCGTTGACAGTGAGGGTCCTGGGAACATGGTGGCGCCCTGTCACATGACCCAAAACATGGCGGCGCCCTGTGGCCATGTGACACTCCTGAACATGGTGGTGCCATGCCACGTGGCAGAGGGTTGCAACATGGTGACTGTTCCCAGCGCAAGCTGGAACAATCACGTGGCCTGCTGGAAGGACATAGCGACCGAGACCTAGTATGGTGGGCGGGCAGTGAGAATGCTGTAGGGGATACAGAATTCTCAGGAGAGGTAGTTGGAGACTTCGAGGAAGTGCTAACAGAGGGATTAGAGCCCCTGGGAGAGTTATGGGTCCCGGGAGACAGAGGGGAAGAGGATCGAACAGCGGGAGATAACTGCGTCAGAGAGGGATTAGAGCCCCTGGGAGAGTTATGGGTCCTGGAAGGTGGAGAGGGAGACGATCGCACAGCGGGAGGTATCTGCGACAGAGGGATTAGAGCTGCTGACAGAATCAGGCATAGAGGGAGGGGACAGTGATCTGGCGGGAGGTAACAGCAGGGAATGAGTTTGGTGGTAGGCAGGCGGTGGCTGGGAAAACACCAGAGGGCAGGACGGAAAAGTTTGCGGTGCCGTAGAGTTAGCTAAAAGTATCTGAGCGGGAGCACAAGACTTAATGAGAGATGGGCGTGTTCTCAGAATAAGAAAGGCCTGAATATAAGGAGTTCTAATAACTTGTTGCCAGCTTGACAAAAATCATACAAGTTCCTGAGAATGCAGGGGTCAAATGTCCCTTCTTTGGGCCAATGCTTGCCGATAAGCGGGTAGGTTGGCCAGACTTTTTGGCAGTAAAAAGTTAATTGTTTAGTTTTTATGGTACTTTTAATTTTTAGAGTATGTAAATTGGAAATTAGGCATTGTAAAGGCGTCTTTTGGGAGTTAGAAAAGACGTTCCCCATGACTGATTCAGGCAAGAAAAAAACCGGAGGTCCAGAGCAAGCCGTCACTTGTTTGTGGCACCACGCGGTGGCTATGGTTCCAAAAACTCGTAAATTCCAGTCATCACTGACAGATTTAGGAGTGGAGCCTGCGTGGGGTCAGTAACAGTTTTGCCCATGAAAGCGCAAGGCTTTAAGGGAAGTGAGGCATTCTTTCAGTGTGGGCGGTCCCAAAAATCTCTGCTTTGGGCTATCCGAACCCAAAGAACGTGAGAGATTTTGTGGACACAGGTTTGCCCAGAAAGAACCCTGCCCTGGACGGTCCTAAGGACGTGAAAATGCACAGACCCCCGCAGATGGGGAGAACAGTCGACTGGGGCTGCCCAGTACCAAAAGTTCCCCGGGGAGTGCTCACTGAAATCAATCTGGCGAATGCTGAGTGCAGGCGGCTGGCGACAGGAACGTCTTGGGAGAGGAAAAAGCTTGGGATTAATCCAGGATGTTATCTGGTTATCGGCTAGGGGACTCAACTGGGTGTGTCCCAGGAGTCTATTGCCTGCCGATCGAGTCACGGTACCAAATGCTAGGATTATTTCATCCAAAAGATGAAAAATATTTCCAAAAGATGAGAAGTATAAAATAAAAAGCAGCCTTTATTCTGAGAACATGGAGAGAGATGACTGGCACCCCCACCGCTGGCGTCTGGCGATCTCTCCGGCAGACACGTGTCGTGGGGGCATGTAAATAGCCTCAGTTTGGGGTGGAACCTAAGGCGGGCATTAGGGATGCACAGGTAGTCCATTGGTCCTAGGTTTTGTGCCATATGTAAATTTCCAGGGGCGGGAAGATGGCGTCACAGGTAACTTCCTAGGGGCAGGGGAGATGGGGCTTCCTGCTTCCGGTTGAGGCTTTCCTGTCTACAGTGTCCTGTCTGGGCCAAAACCCTTTCACAGACTTACTTGTTGGACCTCAGCGCTCAAAGCTTGGGTTTGCTGTGGTCTGAGGGGGAGGGGTGGGGAGGCTGCTGCTGTCACCCTTCCGTAGAGGGTCAGGGTCCCTCCCTGTGTGCAAGTGAGCTGCCCTGTGTCCCCCTGTGTCCTGCAGGGATGAGGCCCCAGCTTTGATGGGGTCCCAGACACGGTGCCCCCCATGCACATTCTTTCTGTTTCTGGGGTTCCATCTTCTTCAGGCTCCCTGGGGAGAGGAGAAAAGCCAGGGAAGGGGACTCGGGAGACAGGAGCCCTGCCCTTTGTCCCACACAGTTTCGCCATGTTCCACAAAGTGAGAATTCCCCGCCAGGACCTACTGAACCGGGCCGGGGATGTCACCCCGCAGGGCACCTATGTCACCGCCTTTAAGGTAGGTTGGTTCGTGGAGGAGTCTGTGTGGCTCCCTGGTGGCCCTGGGCATGCTCGAGTCACTTTGAGCTGAGGTGCCCTGGCCTTGGGGAAGGGAGCTGCCCTCCCCTTCCAACTGCCCTCTCCCAGGCGGCCCCATGGGGCCACGTTTGTCACTGCTCTGTTTCCCCAGGATGCCAGACAGCGCTTTGGGGCGTCCCTGGGCAGCCTGTCCTCAGGGCGCATCTGTATCACCAGCGTGTGCGTGACGAACCTACAGCAAGCCGTGTGTATCGCGGTCCGCTTCTCAGCCACACGGCGCCAGTTTGGCCCCACGGAGGAGGCGGAGGAGATCCCCGTGCTCGAGTACCGGCTGCAGGTTGGCACACTTGGGGTGGTTCTGCTGCTTTCCCGTTCTGTGTGCAAATGTTGGCCCTTTGGCCCTGGGAGCCAGGCTCCCAGGAGTCGGTCACTGGAAGTAGGGAGGGGCCGCGCCCCTGCACATGGGTCCGGGCAGCCAGGCAGGTTGGGTGTTGTTCCCACTTTGTGGGGCTCTGGGGACCACCAGACGGGGGACTCAGGTCACCATCCTGGAGGTAAATCAGCCTCGTCCTGGCCACTGAGCAGCACTACAAATACAGTGACAGCCAAGGAGAGGTGGCAGACTTGCAGTGCTCCCTGGAACCGTTCTCTTACCGTGCCAGGAATCTTGTTAGGAAGGAAGGATTCGGGGGAAGCACTGCTCATACCTGTGCGGCCCGAGCGGTCCCCTGGTCTCCCATGGCCCCTGTGGCCCCAGCACCAAGGCAGCTCAGTGGTTACAGCAGCCACAACCCAGGCCCCCTGATGGGCTGTGTGGCTGGGCCAGGTGCTGGTGTCCCAGGTTCTGCCACGCTCACTGGGTATTGGGCCCAGCTGATGCCTCCACCTAGGAGGCTAGCAGGACCCGGATGGGTTTGTGGGACAGGGCCATGGCTAGCACAGTGACCGGTCCTCAGCAGGTGTGGGACAGTGGTGGCAGTGGCCTCCAGGCTTTACCCTTTTCCCCCTGCCCCTCCCTCTTCCATCCCTCCAGCTGGTTGTACCCACTCCACATCAGGCTCTGGGTCTGCATGGGTTATAGGCAGTCCTGCATGTCGAAGACCTTCTGGGTCCATGGCTGCCTCAGTTTCCCCTCCTGCCTCAGTGTGTGATCAGTGTACCTTCATGGTGTGGAAGGAGGGCACGGCAGATGGAGAGGTGGAGGGAAGCCCAGGCGGTCCAAGTTCTGGGCTCACGGCTGGCCTGGTGGCTGGTTCTTCATGCACAGGCAGGCTGACCCCGGGGCCTGTGTCCTGGGGAGGGTGGGTGGCTCTCTGGGACCGTGTCTTCTGTGTCTCTTCTAGCAATGGCGCCTGCTCCCGTATCTGGCAGCAGCCTATGCCCTGGACCACTTCTCCAAGTCGCTATTGCTGGACCTGAAGGGACTATACCAAGGTCTGCTCAGCGGAGACCGCTCGGCCCAGCAGGTGAGTGTCAGCCCCGAGTGTCCCTGAGTCCCTGGCCCAGCTCCAGCTGTGATTTCCAAGTAGCACTGGACCGGGGGGGGCCAGAGCCTCGGCACAGCTCCTCACTGCCCTGCTCCACACTGGGCCTGTGCCATGTGGGAGCTTGTGGACTGTGTCCCTGTGCCCTTGGCTTGAAGAAGTGCTGACCCGACTCCTCCTTGTTCCTGTCTGTGAGCTCAGCGTGTCGTGTCCTCCTTTGAGAATGTGATGGCTTGGCAGAATCTACGTGGCCAGCCTGTGGTGGCTTTCGTGGTCCTGATCCTTCCATAATCAGCCACACAAGGTCGGCATCCTGCTGACGGTGTTGGAGTCCACAGCCAAGGATTTGTGCCAGCAGGGAGTGTGTAAATCCCCTGAGATCAGCTGCGCAGCAGAGCAGCCTGGGGAGAATTTCTTTGTCCCTAGTTTACTAGGAGGCCTTCCTCAGCCTCCTAATGTGCCCCCAGAGGGAGAAGAATGTGAACCCTAACAAAAGGGTTTGAAAGCAGTGTAGACACTGCAGCAGCCAGGGGCTACAAATGCCACTCTGAAGTGCCTGTCATAGCAGCAGCAGACCCAGGGTACCTAGGAGATGCCACACGATGCCAGCGGGAATCACTGTGGGGCCACTGGGGTTCAGCAAGTTTGAACAAGGCTGTCGCCCAGGAACGAGGGGTTAAATGTGCTCACCCTGAGTCCTGGCCACGCCATCCCCTGGCTTCGTTCGGCATTGTTCCCCAACGAAGGGCACAGAGCATGATTCTGTTTACTCTAAAATTCGGTGGTTTGACCCAGCCACAGCTGGAGCACCCAGAGTAGCCCCTCATTTATTAGAAGCCCCTAAACGCTCCACTATTTAGCAAGTGTGTGTCTCTTTCTTTGAATTTTGATTATCAAGCGGAAGCCAAAGGACATTTATCAAGCATGTGTAGGGCCCTAGGGAGGACAGCCCAGCCCACTCCGTGCCCAGGGCACGGTCAGAGTGGCCTCACCTCATGCCCCCACCGAGGTCTCACGCCTTGTGCGTTACAGGAAAAATGCCTCCCTGCTTTGAGCTGAAATTGGGTTTCCGTGTGCCAGTGCAGTGGTCTCAGGCTCGACGAAAGGCGGCCCACTGTGTCCATGCTGCCATCACGAGCCCTCTTCTCCTTCTCCCATCCCCAGGCAGAGCTTGGCCGGGAGATCCACGCTCTGGCGGCGGCTGCCAAGCCCCTGGTCTCCTGGACAGCGCAGCGGGGGATCCAGGAGTGCCGGGAGGCATGTGGGGGGCATGGCTATTTGGCCGGTAGGTTTGGGATAGCACTTGGGGGTCGATTCCCTCCGCCAGGCCGGGGGCAGCAGACAGCCTGCTGGCCGGCTGAACCAGCCCTGCCTGTTTCTGTGCATAAAGTTGTACTGGGACACAGTGCCTGCGGGCATGGGCTGTAGCTGTTTCTGTGCCACATGGACAGAGACCCCATGTTTCAGGGTCCTCATACCTGATTATGCCCCCACTTATCCTAGGACAAGTTTTGCTAGCCCCTGCCCAAGATTAGTTACTCAAAAATCGGGGAACAATGCAGTATGGGTAAAGTGTGGATAGCCACAGAAAGCTAGGGTGGGGCGGGGGCTTCTGTTTCCTTTGTGACTTTTTGGTTAGTGACTGCGTCAGACGCCAGCACCGAAGCTTCTGAGAAGAATATTTTCAAAGTTTTTATTTGTTTAGTTCATGCACAGTGTGTGTTCACCTTCCTGCTGGGGAGTCGGTGTGTGTCCCCATACGTCCTAATTTCTTTATTCCCTTCCCTCCTCCTCCCCCACCCTGACAATTCTTAAACTTGGAAGAATTTCATCGGTGTCGTGTGCTCTCTAGGTGCTAGCACGCGGTTCCGACGGTGGGTGTCCAGCTAGCCCCAGGGCTGAGCCTGGCCCAGCAGCATAGCTCAGCCTGGCTGTGCCTCTGTTCCCTTATGTGGAGATGGGGTCCGCCCACAGTTCTTTGGTAGGTCGGGTGCATTGACACCTGACAGCACTAGCTGGGGAGCCGAGGGAGCCGGCCAGAACCCCGTCTGCTCGGGTTAACATGAACCTTAGAATCACTGCTGTCACCATCCTGTTTGCAGCTCAGCTGCGCAGCTTCCCGGGGTCAGGAAAGAGCTGGCTGTTATTCTAAGAAGGCCCCGTACTCATTCTGGCGACAACTGCTCAGTCCTTCTCCACCTTTAGAAGCATCTTACGCTGCTGCCAAGGGGCAGCTGTTGGGCCACATCTGGGGCTGGTGATGCCTGCTCCCCCAGGTTGACCTGTGTACCCGCTCCAGCAGGGTGGCATTTTGTGCTGTGCTGAGTCCCTGCTGTGCCCCCCTCTGCCCTCCCTAGCAGTTTTGTTTGTTGCTGTAACTCATAGAGACACCGCAGGTGGTTTAAATGCATTTCCGTTTTAAGGAGCATGAGAAGGCGGCTCTTGAACTGAGTCAAGATTCCTCACTCACACATACGCTGGCCTGTGATCCACAGGGCTGAGGCCAGCAGGGTAAACGCAGCAGCAGCTTTATCCAGGTTCACAGTCTCAGGCACAGGTTTCCCTCTGAGACCTCTCCCAGCCCTGTCTGCCCCGTGGCTTTGCCGGCCTGGAAGCACGGGAGAAGTGCGATTTGACAGCAGCCAGGGAAAACAATGATTAGAGGTCCTAGGTGACCCCAGACTTACTGTGGGTGCAGCTGGCACAGAACATCTCAGACCTCGTGGGGAGGACAGGCGGGGTGCCCCCTTGTCTCCCAGAGGGGGAAGCCCCAGTGGTGGGAGTGTAAAAGCCCTGTAAAAGCTTGAGGGGCGTTTACCAGGCTAGAGAACCCGCAGAATGAGTGTTGTCTTCCAGGCTTTGCAGCTTCTTAGAGGAAGAAGGATCCGTTCGGCTGGGGAGGAAGGAGGGCAGCTCCCCCGCAGGCCCAGGGTGTCAGATACTCGGAAATGCCCCCTCTCTGGGGCTTCCCTGGTGGGGAGGAGCTGCCAGGTGGCCCTCGGGCTGGGTGCTAACAGGGACAAGGACCACTGAGTCTACTCTGCCATGAGCTCTGCCCGCAGTGCCCTGCCAGCTTCCAGGAAGCCCCTATCCATGCTTAGGTTAGTGGCGCAGACCTCAGCTGAGGTTCCGGGAAGCCGCTCGTGGGACCAGCACCTAGCTGCAGGAGCTGACTCTCCTGCCCAGCTGGGCATCGGTGTGCCTGGGGACTCTCAGAGGAGCGTCTGGACTGATGAGATGTCCTGGCTCCATTGCAGTGAACCGATTGGGCGACCTCAGGAATGACAATGATCCGAACAGCACCTATGAAGGTGACAACAACGTCCTGCTGAGGCAGACCAGCAGGTACCTGCTGAGCTTCCTGGAGCACCAGGGGCAAGGTAGACTCGGTGGGCACCAGGGTGGGTGGCTACGGGGGAGTGCTGGTTCTCCTGCCCTGTGTCTGTGGGAGGAGACAAACAGCCCCAGAGAGAACCTGAGCCAGGCCCCCCAGTCCCAGGCAGGGCAGGGGCTGTTCAGAGGCGGCTCCTGGCTGCTGGGCTCCTCACCTTCCCCGAAGTTACTGGCGTGTGTGTCCTAGATGGAGCTTGCTTCCAGAGCCCTCTGCAGACCATGGACTTCCTGCAGGCCTACCCCGGCATGCTTAGCCAGAAGTTTCAGGGCACCAGAGTGGCCGACTGGCTGGAGCCCGCAGGTGCGTTTCCTCCCCTTTTGCGGGGTCGGGTTCTCCTGTTTGTCTCTTCTCTACCCTGGGAAACACGACTTCCCCCTGGGGTGGGAGTGTTGCTAGTTCCATGGGGAGCGGCTGACCACAGCCCATTGCTCCCGACTAATGCTGACAGGGTTCTCTGTGAAGCCCATGGGAGTTCCAGGAGGTCTCAGGGCAGAAGCAGTTGAATAAGCTCAGTTTCCCAAGCTGATGGTGCCCTCAGCTGTGTGGTCCACCACGGAGGGACACCTTCCAGGACAGGGCGGTGCGTGGGGGTGGCCCCACTGGCACTGTGAGAGAAAGGGGCAGGCGTATCTGTGGCCCGAGCTGATTCCCTGGGTCTGGCCGCTGCCCAGGCCGCAGAGAACAAGGCCTCTGCACCCGCCTTCCCCACTGCTCCTGACAGCCGTGCTTGGAGAGTCAGAAAGCTGCAGTCGCAGAGACTCCAGGGCAGGCTTTTAGCCCGGTGCCCAGTGTTCCAGGCTGTCTGGGGGCTGAGATCTGCAGGCGTGGACCTTCGCTGTTTGGAAGCAGGAGCTGAAGCCCAGGATCAGCAGGGCCAGGGTCCAGCTGGAGGGCGGGTGGGCGGCTCGGGGTGGCCTCTGTGGTCACAGCCTCCTCTGTATCTCCTCTTTCTCTGCCCCTTGTGAGTGGCAGGCTATCGGATTGTCCACCCCCATCCACGGTGACCTCACCTAGATGTCCTTAACATCCTCATAGCTGCTGAGGGCCTTTGATTTAACAGGGTCACGACAGGTTCCAGGGTCCCTGGAGAGCGCCTCGCAGCTGTGGGCCTCTCAGCCCAGCCTCCACCATGCCGTACTTGCTCCCAGGCCCACGTGTGCCTGGAGCTCACACACACACCCACGTTCTAGCCCTGCTGGCTCTCCTGGTGGCTGTGTGACTGTGACCTAGCTGCTTGACCTCTCTGAGCCTGTGGGGTGGCCTTGTTTGATTGGTAATGGGTGCTCGGTCCTACTGGGGAGTCACTGATCTGACTACTGAGAAGCAGCCAGATGTGCTGTGGAGTGTTCTCCTGGGGCCCAGGCTGTGGGGCATAGGACCGCTCTTGCCTTCCGGAGCCCCAAGCCAAAAGCTGAGGGGCTCCCTGCACACTGCAACCTGGAGGACTCCAGGTCTGGGTCCCGGGCACCCATGCCTGATGAAAGCATGGGTGGCATCGTGAGCCACCTAGGCGCCCGGACCCCCAGCACCACAGTCAGGAAGAAGCTGGCTTGGGGCACTGGGGCTGTATCCACTTGGGTGCTGGGGCAGTAAGGGGCATGAGGCAGCCTCCAGGCATGGCGAGAAGCACTGTTCGCGTGCCCGCTCCTGCCAGCCACTGCCTGCAGCGTGCCGTGCCTCGATTTCTCAGCTCCTCCTGGAGGTCACACAAGACAGGCGCACAGCCGTGCCATCTGTCCCCAGTAAGTGCTGTCAGTGACGATGTCCTCCTTCTGTCCACGAAGCCCCCCTGGCGGCATACACGTGGCTGGTTTGCTACCTGCTCCGAAGGAGTCACCAGAAAGTCACCCAGGAGAAGAGATCAGGGCACAGCGACTTCGAAGTGGTGAACAGCAGCCAGGTACATGTCCAGTTGTAAAATCGCTTTTTATCTGATGTACTCCGAATTGCCCTAGGGTTGTGTCCCTGGGAAGTTGGGCAGCTGCCGTCCTGCCCTCCCACTCCAGCCTCCCCGATTGACCCCTGGAGCCCGGTTTTTTCCTTGATAGGAGCACTGATCCTGCCTGGTGGGGCCGGGTGAGGAGGAGCCGGTGGCACCTGCCGGGCTTGCCTGCAGCCCGGAGCTGTGTGGCTGGAACTGGGGCCGTGGGGCTTTGGGACCTGGGATTTAAAAGTCACCTCCTTGTCAGAGGTGGAAATGGCCCAAGGGTGGCTCACAGTCACTCCGAAAGCTCAGGTTCCTCATGCTGCACGGAAACATCTCCGGTCCTGAGAACCCAGGCACAGAAGCACACGGTGTGAACACCTTGTCATGGCAGAGCTGGGCCCCGCTCTCCACCCAGCCCTGTGGCCCATGCTGATAGCCACCCAGGATGTGGTAGCAGGGACTTGCAGGATGGCTGCAGACCCTGAGCCATGGTGTCAGGAAGCAGGTCTCGTGTTACACTTCATAGTGAAGCTGTCCCTGGGGACCCAGGTCCACATCCCATGTCTTACGAGGGCCCCAAGAACCTCTCCACGGGACAAAGATGGGCACACAGGCGGTGGCTTCAGAGCCTCCTGCTGAGCCCAAGCAAACCGAATTGGATACATGGCCTAAAAAAGGTTCAGCAGGCAGTGAGGGTCAGTGAGCTTTGGGGTCAGAGTCACAGTGGCCTAGAATAGGAGGCCTCAGATGACCCTTGTGAGACAGCCTCTCTGCAGCCCCTGGGGCTGGAGCAGGGCAGACTGTGGTCATTTGGAAGCGGTGTGTGGTCACTGGCTTAGGCCTCTTCCTGTGCTGGTCACGTGGTCATTCAAATGGGAATGACGGTTGATCTCCCTGAGTTACCCAGTTCCCAGGGGGTGGAGGGCCAAGAAGTGGATGTTCCTGGCACCGTCCAGGCCCTCAGAACCACCTACAAGGGCTGTGTGGTCCCTCAGCAGCCTGCCCGGCCCGTCGGTGCCCAGGTAACCTCCCAAAAAGCAGCGTGTGGCCAGCGGTCTGAGAGGTCGGGGATGTGCAGTGAGAACCTTGTAGCAGCATCAGTGAGTCCAGTGGAAGAGGACAAGCTGGGCTCAGGCAGCTGCTACAGTGTCCTTGGGGACAGTGGGCAGCAACCACACAGGGGCAGGAGCCACCGCCCAGAAGCAGCAGGGAGCTCCAGGAAGAGGGAGAACTGTGAGCCTTGGAGTGAGGCTGGGTCACCGCTGATGGTCAGCGTCCCTGGGGTGCTGAGCTGGACATGATCAGACCCAGCTGGCGGTGGGAACAGCCATGGGGCAGGGGAAGCGGAGCTCAGAGGATGTTTACGTGACCTCGCGTGGGGTGCGCCTCCTTCAGACAGGAAATTCAGAAGCTTCAAAAGGAGGGAAAGCTGTGAGAGGTTACTGTGTGAAAGAGCAAGGGGACTGTCCACAAAGTCAGGCAGCCCCTGGGCAGGGAGGCGCAGGACTGGCACAGATCACCCCTGCAGGGAAAGTGCACCCCGAAATCAGGGTCAGCCTGGGCCTGGGTGGGAGCCACAGGTAGGGTGGGCAGGTGAAGCCCAAGGTGTCGGGCTGGTGTTGGAGCTCTTGCAGAGAGCTACCCCGGCAACCAAGGCAGGGGAAAGGGCCCCAGTGGACCCCAGCTTAGCTCAGGGTGCTGCTGGGCAGGCTCTTTGCTGCAGGGCAGTGGCCAACCCTGAACCGTATCACAACCGGAATGGGGACAGGACAGTAAAGTGACGTGGGGGTGGAGCTGAGACTGCCAGGAGGTGGCTCTGACTGCCCATGACTGCTGCAGCATTGGAGCCAGCAGGGTGCCCAGACTGGTGGGCACCCTTCGCCTGACGGTGCCAGCCGTGACCTTGGGAAGACTTCGCAGGAGAGGAGCTGGCACCGAGTGGGACACTTCCTGCTCCCCCAACCTGGAGCCGGATCACAGTCAGGTCTGCTGATCTCAGCGGATCAGCTGGAGTCTATGTCCCTCCATGAAGGGCACAGGAAGCCCTGTGCCTAAGACTGACCAAGACATGGCACAACAGAGCCATGTCACAGGCGCCACCTCCGACAGAGCCATCATATCCCACGATGCTGCCACCAGTGCCGGTGCTCAGGTGTGGGGACTGCAGGCCCTGGCCAATGTGTCTGAGGGCCGGACCCGCAGCTCGGGTGGGTTCTGACAGCGGCAGGTTGCCAGGGTGGCTGCCTCTCCACACTCACCACCTCGTGTAGCCTGGGGCCTGGTGACATGGAAGTGTCACTTCACGGGAAGTTGAGATAAAACAACTCCACCTTGGTGCAGTCATGTCTCCAAAGGCCGAGGGACAGATTGCAAGCAGTGTAGTCCATTTCCAAGCCTGGCTGCTCTGGGCTCGTCCTCACCTCCAGCCCCAGGGGGAACTCTTACAGAGAGGAGCTCATGGGACAAGAGCCGTCAGCTTGTTGGTAGGACCCAGGGAGTTACGCAGCTCTGTGGAGACAGGGACCAGCTTGCCCAGGCTTCCCATTTTGTCCCCTGGGCTCATCAGCAGGACAGAGGGAGACAGAGCAGCACCTAGCCCTGGAGACTGCACGGGGCCAGGGCAGCTGTCACAACAGCTGCATCACCAGTTAGGGGGTGTGGGCGCCTCGGCCCCGCCCAGCCTCTCCTCGCTCGCCTTGGAAATCAGGGCACAGGTGCCTGCAGGGTCTACAGTGTGGTCCCAGCCCCACTCCTCAGGGCACAGGAGAACAGGTGGGCTGGGGCGGCGGCAGGGCAGCACCTGGGCCCCTGACAACTCTCAGCAGCCTGCTCTGTAGCATGTGTAGTCCTGTGGGGTCTCTGCCAGGACTGGCACAAGGCAGGGGAGAAAGCCTCCCCCTGCTGTGTCCCCGAGGCTGCTGTTCTGCAATGACCCAGGGAGAGTGTCGGCCTCAAATCCAAGCCCTGCTCTCTGCCACTGGAGATGCAGGACAGCCAATCGTGTAAATAGCTGGGACCAAGACCTCCGTGGTGGCTCTGCTTCTGTTTCCCCGGGGCCACTCAGTGCCCAGCAGGCTATTTTGCCTCAGTGAAGTGGCTTCTCTGAGAGCTGTGGAGGGAGGCACGAGGCTGTGCTCCAGGGGAGCGGAAGCCGCTGCCCCCCTTCAGATGGTGGAACCAGCCCATGCATGTGTGTCCTCCAGGACCCCAACAGCTGCAGGAGGTGCCAGGGCCACCTGCTGTGCCCTGAGGGACCCTAATGATGTCCACCCTGCTCCTCGGTGGCAGCAGCCGTCCAGAGCTCCCTTGGGCCCCTGTGTGGTGGTTGCTGTGCCATGTGGCTTGCACAGGGCACCGAGGCAGGGTACTGCGACTTGGAGCATCCCTGGACACAGCTCAGCAGTGTCCTTTCTCATGTCTGTCAGACGTCCCCACGCTGCCCCACCTCACATTGCTGTCCTCCCGGCTGTGCCCTACCTTACAGGTCTATCACCTCCGGACACTGGCCCTGGCCTTCATAGAGCTGACCGTGGTGCAGAGGTTCCACAAGCATACGCATGGCCCCGACGTGCCACCTGCTCTGCAGGCTGTGCTCGGCCGGCTCAGCGCACTCTACGCCTTGTGGTCCCTGAGCCAGCACACAGCTCTGCTGTACCAAGGTGAGGCTGCCCCTGTTACCTGCCCGCCAGGGACCTGACCCAGGGCTGTGACCACCTCGCACAGAGCACTGTGTGTCCACGTGGCCTCTGTCCTGGTAGTTTGGCGGAGAGGCCTTGGGAGAGGAACCAGGCCACAGTAGACACAGGACAGTAGTGTGGGCCGCATAGAGCTGGAGGGTCTTCAGGGTGCTCCAGGGAGACACAGCTGTCCCTGCATGTGGAGTCCCCACAAAATCAGTCTTCCTGGGGGAGAGGTCTCTGCGAGGTCCATACCTGCCAGCAAGGCAGGGGCTGCTTACTGTCTGGGAAAGTCCAACCGACCAGGCACTGTTCCCATCAGAAAAAAACCCAAAGAAGTCATTTCAAACAGGGGTGCATCCCAACACCCACGGCGCTGTCCCCAGGCTGGCAGGACCCATGAGAATGCTGTGAGGGTGGACCCAGGTCTTGCAGCCTAGGCCCCGGTGCCTTGGGAGCCTCATACACCCTGTCTGCCACACGCTGCCCCTGCAGCCAGACCAGTGCCATGTGCTACCTTGAACCTCCTGCCAGCACATGCCCCTTTGTCCCACCTCTGGTAGGAACCAGCACCATCTCCTGAGCCCAGGCAGCCCCCGCCTCCCCCAGTCCATAGGACTTGGCCTCTCTTCCGGCCAGACCCAGGCCAGATTCTCTCTGCACCCCCCCCCCATGTGCTGCCTGTACACACACCCAGAGAACCCAATGGGACAAGGACCTCAGAACCAACCTGAGCCAGGAGGTTCTTTCCCAGGGTCCCAGCAGGGCTGATAGTGGAGTGGCCCCTTGCTGTCTCTACCTGGTCCAGACTTCAGGGCTAACTGAGGGTGTGTGAGGAGTGCTTTGGATAGCTCAGGCTGGACCCTGGTATAGTGGAGCTGTATTTGCAGGTGGCTACCTCTCTGGCGAGCAGGCAGGTCAAGCCCTGGAGGACGCCATCCTGGAGCTGTGTGCCCAGGTGAGTGTCCACTCCTGTGCTGTACTCTGCTGCCCAGTACTAGCTCTCATTTGTGGGAGGCAGCTTTTAAGCACTGCCCCAAGACCCCTGGAAAGGTAGCTCAAGGGAGGACAAGGTTACTGTGTGTCATAGCTGCAGAGGCTTTGGTCCGTGGTCAGCTGGCTCCATTGATTCTGGGCCTGCCATGCAGCCCAGCATGGTGGTGGAAGGGTGTGCAGAGCTGAGCTGTCACTGCTTGGTGGCCAGATACAGAGAGAAAGGAAGGGGAGGACAAGGTGGAGTCCCCAGGAGCACCCCAAAGACTCGATCCTTGCAACGAGCCCTGTGCTACGGTTCCCACCACCTGCCAGTAAGCCTCAGATACGACACTCCAACAGGTCAGCCCATCCGTGGGGCTGAACCTTCAAACCCCAGTGCTTTCCCAGGCCACCTCAGAACATGCTGCCCTGAGGACCAAGCTACGACCCGTGAGCCACTAGGGGCCACTCCTGACCCAAAGCCTGACTCCGGTGTGGTGGCACCCTCTGTCTGCACTGCACTTGGTCACCCCAGGACAGTGTGTGCCCAGGTCACGTGCTTCGTCATCTGCAGTGGCTTCGGTGTCCACCTGAGTCCCTGCTTTTTTTCCCACTCCAGCAGCCCCACAGGGTTGGGGACCCCCCCCCCCCCACCAGGAGACCTCATGCTGTATAGCACTTGCTGGGCTGTGAATGTTTCCTCTGTCCTGTTCTCTAGACACAAGTGCTGCTGGCCAGGGCCCGGAGACAGTACTGATGGACCAGCCGCGCTGTGCTGTGGGCCAGCATCCCTACCTTGCTGGAAAACCAGCCCAGCTCTCTGGAGAGCAGACGGCACGGTGGGGATGTGCACGCACACACGGCCCTAGCCCTGGCCAGGCAGAGACGATGCCTGAATCGTCCACGCTGCACTGGCTTGGGTTTCTGTGGCCAGCTGGCCGTAGCAACCAGGGCTGGCCAGGGCTATGTTACTCAGCTGTCTCTGTGGAAACCACGGTCATGGCCAAACGTGTGGATTTTGTTTTCCCACAGCTGAAAGATGATGCAGTGGCCCTGGTGGACGTGATTGCCCCTCCTGACTTTATTCTGAACTCCCCGATTGGCAGAGCTGATGGCGAGGTGAGGGGAGCCCCCACTGGAGCCCACAGAGGTAGTGGCATGGATCAGGGGTCTCAGGGGTCTCCTAGGACATAGTCACCCTTGGGGAGCATCTGGGAAAATGGGGAGAAGTTGGGGACCTCACCCATTCCTCCTGGACCAGCTCTGAGGTCTCAGATACCCATCCCTAAGGCCTGTTCTTTAGAGTCCAGGTGGGTAGGCGTGAGCTTGGCACCTGCCCCTGTGGGGGACCCCACCACAGCCCACCTCCCTCCTTACTCCCTTCCCCTTCCTGGCCAGCCTGTCCCTGCTACTCAGGTCCTTGACCCACCTGGACCTTGGACTCCCTGTTGCCTGTCCCCGCAACCCATCCACGCTGCTGGGGATACCTCCTTCCCTGCCCACCTGTGTACCCCAGCACCCCTTCTTCTTGCCCCGAGTTCCAGAATGGTTTCTTAAGGATCAGGTGGGGTTGGACTGCTCTGGGTAGAGCCCCTTGCCAGCACCCTGCACTCCAGATAGAGCCAGGCCCTCTCAGTGTCCCCTCCCTGCACCCTGCACCCCGTGAGTCCTCCATGTCCATCTCACAGCATTCTCCCCCCAGCCCCCTACCCCACAGCCATACTGCCCCTCTTTCTGATGCCCTGGGCTTGTTCCCATCCCAGGACCTTTGTACCTGTCCCACTTCCTGTGCAGCGGCCCTGAGGCTGCCCTATCCATGCCCCTCAGCACTCCTCTCTGAGCTGCACTGACTCCTGCGTGGTCCCCTTCGGTGGTGATGACCACACGGGTGTCATCACAGGTCTGCCTGGTGCTGCCTGCCACCTATGGGCCCCTGTGCCCCTTTGACTGTTGGGCATGACACGTCCATGTGTCCAGGTCACATCTGAGCCCTTGCTCACATCATGGGCCACAGACAGCAGTCAGCTTCACCCCCAGCCCTGTCTCTCTTCCCAGGCTCTGCTCCCACCTTCGGGCCTGCACATAAGTGACAGCCCCGCCCCCACCCTCAGGGGCTCAGGAAATGGTGCCTCATAAGCCAACACAGGCCTGTCCAGCAGGGCAGGTGCCCCAGGCTGAGTATAGGTGACTGCTGCTGGGCCCGAGGTCCAGGGCGGGGTCAGATCAGGAGGGGAGATGCTAGTGTCCAGAGCAGGGGCCAGGGTCCCCTGATGTGGTGCCGGCTTGGGACCCACTCCTGTCTGTGTCCCATTTGGTGTATGCCACATGTACTCTGCTGATAAGAAACAGACAGGTCCAGAGCGGCCTAGCAGGTGCCCCGGGGCTGCCCAGCCAGCGGCTGGCAGTCGGGACGTGGGTCGTAACGGGACAGGCAGGTGGGATGTGCATACCCGGCCACGCAGGGACCTGTGAGCGTGGAGGACCGTCCCATGCAGCCAGGGCTGCCTTGGGCAGGCATGCAAGCACTGCCCAGGAGTGTGGCCAGGGCCATGCCCGGAGGAAGAAGGGCCTGGCTGTGTCCTCCGAGCCGGCCAGAGGTGTCACCCAGTAGTGCAGCTTAAACCCGCGCCTTTCGGCTGGTGCTGAGAAGCCAGTGTGGGCAGCAGGCACTTCGGAGCAATGGGCTGGCCGCTAGGCAAGTCTCAAGTGCCGTCTTCCACCACCACAAGCTGCAGGAAGGGTCTCGGGGATGTTTCCCATCACTCCGTGTTTTATGGTACTTTATACTTGAACTTCCTAACTGCTTTCTACTAAGAGAAAGTTTGTATAAATTAAACTTAAATCATTTTAACATTTTCCTAACAAGCGACAGTGGGGAATTTCCTGTCTGACAGAACCGCCCGAGGGGCGGCGTGTGTTGTCTGGGTGCAGGGTCTCTTGAGGCCTTTCACAGTCCCTGTCTGCTTTCCATTCTCAGCTGTACAAGAACCTGTGGGGCGCTGTGCTGCAGGGCCGTGGCGTGCTGGAGCGGGCGTCCTGGTGGCAGGAATTCTCCGTGCACCGACCCGTGGTGGGCAGCCTCAAGTCCAAGCTGTAGGCACCGGTGGCAGGCAGACAGACAGGGACCTGGAGTCTGGCTGCAGAGACACCTGGATGATCCTGTCACACAGGGCCACACTGGGCAGGTCGCACCGGATTGCGGGGTCCACTGGGGTCGGGTGATTTGCTATGGGGACAAGGCGCTCGCGTGACCGAGTCTTCCTGGGGGTCCAGGGCTTTGGTGATGGGATCTGGCACAAGGGCCAAGTGTAACGTATTCAGGATTTTCTGGCCAGATCATCTTTTGAATTCATCTGAGATTTTTTTTTACACAACTCCACTTCTCTGAGAAATTAACATGCTGCTCTGATTCCCTGCCAACTCCAGTTTGACTCTGTCACACGTAATCAATTGTATTAGCACCTGATTAGTTTGTCATGTGAATCTCTGAACAACATAGTTGAAGATTGTAAGAAAAACTTTTAATGACTTTCCTTTGTGGAGTGAGAAGTTTCCCCTGAGAATGTGCCGCGGAAGCAGCCAGTAACCTGAAGGGCTGGACCGTGCGGCTGCTGGCGGGCCCTGTGTGCAAACTACTCTGGTGCGGTGGGTTTAGTCCGTTTGTCCCCAGCAGTGCCCTTGTCCATCCTGGCTGTGCCTCAGCAAAGTCTTACGCTTGACATGCCCTGTGGTGCCAGCCAGGGGGCACACGAACTCTTTGTGCCTTTTAGGAAGTTTCGGTCCACTCAGCCCCTCCCTTCTGCTGTTCTAGAAAATGAGAATCAGAGTTCCAGACTCAGCTGTGCCATGGGTTGGTACAGACCTCAGAGGAGCTTTAGGGGCTGCTCCTGCAGAGAGCCAGGTCTCAGACACTCAGGGCCCCGGGGTCAGCTACCTGCTGCAGTTACCAGCCCAAGGCACCAGGAAGGTTGAAGTGGGGGACCTGCCAGGGGATGCCCTGCTCCCTCATCCTGGGACAGGGCTGTCAGGCTAGCTGGGTCAGGCAGGCCTCGGGAAGCCTGCAGGGGACATTGCAGGGGTACAGAACCCTACACAGCTCCTGCCGGGGAGACTACCTGCCCACCCCAGTGCCAGTCCAGTCCCAGGTGGGGTTGGGGCGGGCTGAGACACTGGGGTGACATTAGAAAAATTCCATTCTGAGTAAAAGTCATTTAAACAATAAAGCAGTTAAAATTGAATCTCTGCTTTCCGTCACTTTCTCTGCTCATAGTGCCTGTCATCAGGTGCTGTGTTCGTGACAGAAAAGTTCATAGAGGAACTTCTGGGCAGTGACACCTGGATGCACTTCATTCTGCACCATGGGGCCACAGAACGGGGTCGCTGTAACCCTTAGTTCCTGCCAGGTTCCCTCCTTCCGGTAGCAAGGCCTGAGTGGTGCCAGTGACCTGTGACACCACTTGGTCCTCGTGCCTCCCTGCAGGGAGAGCCTCCATCTCTAGGCCCTGGTGGTGTCCCCGTGCCAAGCAGGCCATGAGTGAGCCCACGCCATTCCCAGGGCTGGCTTCTGCAACAGAAAGAAACGGGGGTCACACTCTTCGTGGGCATCTCCCTACCCTAGAGTCTGTACTGGCCTTTCTCATGTCCTGTGACACACGCTCTCTGCAAGTGGGACTTCTGATACCACCGGTCACCACAGTGGGGCTCATGGGCATGAGAGATGGGACAGGTGTCTACACACCCTGCTGCACCCCAGTGTAATGCAGGGCACCCCTACATCTGAACCCCCATGTGAGAGAACCAGCCTCATGGTGCAGCTGTGAGCGTTGGCGGGGTTGATCCATGAATGTGCAAAGCCAGGGCCTACACTCGGGGGCACTTGGGCAGTCTCCTCCTACAGCCGCTGCCCAGGGAGGCCGGCACAGGCATTCACTCCAGGACAGGACTTCGCTGCCCACCTGCTACCTGCCTTGTGTAGTCTCTTTTCCCCGCTCCCTCCCCAGGCCAAGCCTGTCCTGCTTCAAGCGAGTACTCTGCGAAAATGCCACTCAGTTTTTCAGTTTTTCAAATTCGTAACCTTTTAACATATTAAGAATAAACCTTCACCAGCTGTGGTGCATTCCTGTAATCCCAGCTCTTGGAAGGCTGAGGCAGAAGGATCCCTGCAAGTTTGAGGCCAGCCTGGGCTACATAGGGAGACTCTGCTTTAAAAAAAAAGGTAGTGAACACCAACATACCCATTATAAATTTTTTTTCCTCATTTTTCATTTGCCATCTAATGGGATTCATTTTTTAAGAAATTTAACACAGCAAAGGTTAAAGCTTTTAAATCAGAAAAATACATTTGAAGTCTAAGACTCATTTCTGCCCTACCCTTTGAGGTCATGGTTGGAAAGTCTTCTCTGACAGTAAGATTGTTTCCTTCACCTGCTTTTCTTGGAGTGCATTTCAGCAGGGATTGGCTCGGGCGTTACGGCGTGAGGCTGGGATCTCACGTGGTCAGGCTTTCAAGTAGGGCACCAGCCTGACAAGCCACAGTCAGCTGCATCCCTGCCTGTGTCTCTGCACTTTCTGTCCTTTCATCTCGTATCTTGTCTGGATGTTTTCGTTCCTCTGATCTGTGTGCTTCTAAGGTCTGCGAATAAAAGCCTCGTTTCCTGTCTCTGAAAAATTTCTTGGCTTTGCCAGCTGTGGCATTGTTTGTCAGGGCTGGGCATTCTCCCACCTCCAAATCAAGAGAAGGCCTTTGGAATTGTTTGACATCTTGTCTCACCTCTGGGTGAGCTCCAGGAGAGTCTATAGCTTTATTTTCATCTAAGGTGATTTCTTCAAGTTGTTTTCTTCATAAAAGCCTTCTGGTTTTGCATGTTTACTTATGAAAAACTTATTTAATCACTGTAGTCTTTTGCTGAATCTCTTTGGTTTTCCTCTGTGTCATTAGTAGGTACAGTGGCTCTGCTCTGGCATTTCCAAAGGCTTTGCCTGGCACTTAACTTCCTGTGCCGGGGTGTCTGCTGGCCCTGCAGGATCGGCCCTGTGGTTGGTGGATCTGGTGAGGGCTGCAGGGCTGTGCTCATGGCCGTGTAGTGGCTGTAAATTTCTGTGCCTTGCAGAAGCTGAAGGCTCACAAGGTATGGGCTGCCTGCAGCTCTGGGCACTGGGAAGAATCTGGATGGAAAACAATTGCAAAGCCACGAGGAAGAAGTAGGAAACCTCAGCTCAGCCCCACCACCACTGTGAGCGTCGCTGAAGTGTCTCAGAGGAGGGTCTTGGTCCTGCAGCCACTGAGGCTTTTGGTGGCCATTGGTATGGTCATAGTTTTTGACACAGGGATGCATAGTTGATACAGGGGATATTGGGACTGTCACTTTGGTGACAGCCAACCTGGGCCAACTCTGTTTTTGCACGTAAAGACAGTCCACTCAGCCTTTACTGGGCGCCTGACCACACCCAGCCCCACACAGGGTCAGCAGGCTGAGGAAGGACCCATGTCCTGGTCACGGGGTGGGGGTGGGGGCTCCTGAGCCTTGGTGGAGGTGACTGGGTGTGGCCCAGGTCCCGTGTGGGGGTGTCACCCACTGGATGGTATCCCCATCAGAAAATGTCAGGTGGCCTCGGTAAAGCCAGCCGGGAACATCAGAGTGTCCATGGGCGACAGAAAGGCAGAGAAAGTGGCTCAGCTGCTGGCTCGGCTGCCGGAGAACGGACCCACAGGCCTCTATGGCCCGGCTCTTCCCCTCTGATTGCGATGCTCAGGCTGATAGCTGAGAGGCGACGTCCACATACAGGGATGGGCCGTGCTGTCCTCCCTAGATGACAGAAGGGTCTGCGGCTCTGAGCCCCGCCTGAGATAGTGACCACAGCAGAGGTCTTCTGGAACCCCACACGTTGCAGCATGGACCTGCGTGTGAAGTTCCTCCTGGGGCCGCTGTCACCGGCCACAGAGCCCACACTGGCCCTGTTTCCTCACTGCTCCTCTTGCCATGCGACACAGGGCCCTGTGAGCCACACCTGGATTCTCTGCCATGGCCTGTGTGTGGCTGCTCACATCCCAGCTGCCCCTGACAGATGATGGGCCACACGTGGGACACCCCAGACTTGGCCACTCAGCCATGGGCACCTGCAGAGGGGCCTGGCCTAGGCAGAGGGCTCCTGCCGTCCATGAGGAGGGTCAGTTTGGGGACTCCTGCTGCTCAGTGAGCCTGGGCAGCCTCCTGTCTGCTTGATCTACTCCAAGGCCACTGCTAGCCCTGTAACTAGGGCATCCCCATGGCTCCAGAACATCCCACCATCCCGGGAGCTGCCGACGAGGCAACACTGCTGCTCGGGGACCTTAGAGGAAGAAGGTCCTCGCCCTGGAAGTGGCATCAGCCCGAAACTGGACCTGTTCCCTCACCCCTTCTGGTGGAAGAGAAGTCCCTGCCCTTTCTCTCCAGTTCATGATCCTGTTTGAAAATGCTCAAGCCAGCAGGCAGCAGAGCAGAAACTTTGTTTTGCAAGAGAAAACATGTGGATAATCTTACAAGGGCTGAGTGCGTAGGGCGGGAAAACAAAACCTGAGCTCAGGGTTCACGAAATTCTCCTGGGTGTTTGTTCTACAGGATGTTAATGTGGCTTGCAAAATCCTGGACATCTCTCGAATTTTTTTATCTTTGTTCCAGGGTTAGGCTTAGAAAACAAAGTCAACTTTTAGGAACCTTTTCCTATGCCATCATCCCAAGTGGCCCCGGTCACGTCTTTCCCATTGTCCTCTAGGCAGTACGTGACCACATATGGGGCAGGCAGGGTGGGTGGCACTGGACCCTGCTGCCAACCTGGTCACTGTCTGCAGGTCTTGGGCCCCCTCTGGGCTTCCCACCAGCTTCCCACCACAGTGGTCATCTCAGGGTCCTGAGGAGCCACAGACAATACCTGTGAAATTCTTAACATCCCAGGGCACCAGATGACCCCCTGGCCACTAGCTGGCCCCAAATGTGCCCCTTCTGCACCCCATGCAGTTCTAGGGTGGTCTTAGGATACCATGTGTTCACATCTGGCTGTGGGAAGCAGGATGGTGAGGGGCTGTCCCTTGGTAGCTAGGAAGATGCCGAGTCGGAGAGGATCCCCTCTCCCAGTACGGCTGGCACTGTTGCCCAGCGTGTTTAGGACAAGGCTCTTCCTTTGACCTCCAGGGTGCCGCTTCTGTAGGGACCCCTCCCAGAACCCAGGAAGGCCACAGAGTGGCTCCGTCTTTGTCAGGCTAAGCTGTCTTCGTCTCGAAGTGAGGTTTCTTCCACATCTGCCACCCAGGTCCCATGCTGCTGTCACTGCTTTCCAACCTCAGATGAGCTGTTGCCACCCGCACCTGGGCGCCCTACCTGTCTGTGTCTTGGTAGCCCCTAGCCACCACCCACCCAGGAGCCTGGGGATGTGGGTGTCAGCTTGGTGTTAGAGCCATGGCGGCTGTCTTGGTTACTTTTCCCTCGTTGCTAAGACAAAGCACCTGATGCCCAAAATGAAGGAAGAGAAGGTTTATTTAGGTCACAGTTTATGGAAGTTTCAGTCCATAATCAGTTGGCTCCAAGACAGGAGGGTGTCATGGCAGAGAAATAACCATTCATGGCAGTGACAGATACCAAAAGCAACAAGAGCAAAAAGGGCGAAAGCAAGCCTCCCTCCTCCCTCACATTGTGTGCAGACCGCCAGCCCCCGTGTGGGTGCAGCACCACCACCAATCTCAGCACTAGGCAGTGGACCAACCACAAACTCTAGGTTCAGCCTTCAGAAGGCTCCCCCATGACCATGTGAGTCTTTGGGGGACATCCAGACAGAAACCATAACAGTGGCCATCAAGTTCCTTACCTAGCTTGGAGGCCAGGGACTGGATATGAATCATTGCTCTCCGGCGCCCAGTACAGGGCCACATGCAGTGCCTGACCAGCCCTGCAGAGACGGGACGGAGCAGATGGGGTGGACAGGCCAGGCTGGGTGGCTGAGGGAGGAGTTGGGCCAGTGAATAAGAAATGAAGTAATACACGGATAACCCAGTATGAGCTAACAGGGAGAGGCCCACCTTTCATCCTGCAGTGTTGTCACTTCAATTCTTCAAAACCAGCATAAGGAAGGACAAGCAAAAGGCCACCGTCCCCTCGCAGACCGCTCATGCCAGCGGATGCTGCACCCTGAGGTCCTCACTCACTGGCACTGTCACGGGGTTGTTTCAGAGGCAGCTCTTCTGCTCCAGCACAGAGCACCCTGCGTA